GGGCTGGCGTCATCCTCTTGGTCACCCTGATCAAGAGGATACCGCGTCTGAGCCTGTGCACCCCGTTGTCACCCTCGGAGAGGCCGAAACACTTCACCCCCTTTCAACCCCCTGTGATTTGAGGAATTTCTGCTTTTCGGATGGGGGTGAAACTCACCAGGGTTTTGGTAGACGTGACCCTGAACAGCGTCGAAAAGGTCCCATGTCGATAGCTGCCCTTGGAACCACGCAAAGACACCCCCAAGTTAGGGGTGCACAACCCCCAAGCGGAGGGGTTGAAAACAGCCGCGCCGCTGGGTGGGCCTTCCAGACAGCCAAAGCCATCGGGTACATGCTGTTTAGCCCTTGAATTAAGGCCTCTTCACAATTTTTAGCCTAAAAGCTGTGTTTCGACGAAAAAACAACCCCTGTGTTTGCGCCCTTGTAGGGGCTGAATCAGCAGGGCTACGGCCATGCCGACCGCGGCATTGGATGCGCCAAGGCCTCCTTGTCAGATACCTAAAAATTCAGAATTTTCCGATCACGCGTTTCCAGACAGTTAGCGCAAGTTTCGAACTCCTGCTCACCGCCCTGCCGGGAAACGCTCTCAAAAGGTAGGCAACCCATCGGGCTTCGATTTCAGTTTTTCCGCTTTTTTCATGATTTAGCAGGTCAGATTGGTTCAGCTTGTTTTTGTGATCAATCTCTAACCCAGCAAATCGAATCCGACCCGCTGAATCATGAAAAAAGCGGAAAAACTGAAATCGAAGCCCGATGGGTTGCCTACCTTTTGAGAGCGTTTCCCGGCAGGGCGGTGAGCAGGAGTTCGAAACTTGCGCTAACTGTCTGGAAACGCGTGATTGGAAAATTCTGAATTTTTAGGTGTCTGACAAGGAGGCTTTGGCGCATCCAATGCCGCGGTCGGCATGGCCGTAGCCCTGCTGATTCAGCCCCTACAAGGGCGCAAACACAGGGGTTGCTTTTTAGTCGAAACACAGTTTTTAGGCTAAAAATTGTGAAGAGACCTTAATTCAAGGGCTAAACAGCACGTACCCGATGGCTTTGGCTGTCTGGAAGGCCCACCCAGCGGCGCGGCTGTTTTCAACCCCTCCGCTTGGGGGTTGTGCACCCCTAACTTGGGGGTGTCTTTGCGTGGTTCCAAGGGCAGCTATCGACATGGGACCTTTTCGACGCTGTTCAGGGTCACGTCTACCAAAACCCTGGTGAGTTTCACCCCCATCCGAAAAGCAGAAATTCCTCAAATCACAGGGGGTTGAAAGGGGGTGAAGTGTTTCGGCCTCTCCGAGGGTGACAACGGGGTGCACAGGCTCAGACGCGGTATCCTCTTGATCAGGGTGACCAAGAGGATGACGCCAGCCCGATCTCAGGGCTGTACCTCAAGAAATGTGGATTTTGAAGGGGGGTGGGGGTTGTAGGGGGTGGGTTTGTCGTAGAGGTCTCCCGGGGGTCGCATTTTGTAGAGGACGTCAAGGGCAATCGCTCTGTACCGTTTTCCGATTCTTTTGACCCCCGAGAGCCAGGCTGGTCGCTTCTAAAGTTGCGTTTTTTTGCACTTCAAAATTGCTGGGGGTGAATCACCCCCTCCCGGTCCAACCTCGTCAGTGCAACGTTGCACGCGTTTTCAGGACACTTGAAGGCAACTTGTGTCAAAGTTGCAGCCTTCTAGCTCTGAAACTCGAGATTTGAGGTCACTTTGAAAAAGTGTCCCCTTAATTTTTTCCGCCAGTGTACATATTCGTTGGTACAACAAATTCTTTTTTTCCGTGATGCACTCTCCAGGATGACGGGTTCTGTTTCGGCGATTTGCAGCCTTGTTACAGTGACTAAGAGCGTTCTTTCAAGCACTCTCCATCCTGGAGTGTGCTTGTTATGCATGCTCCAGGTTAGACCCGGTTAGAGCGTGCTTGAAAGCACTCTCCGTAGGGTATGAGCGTGCTTTGTAGTTTACTCCCAGGTGGAGCATTCATATTCCAGTGTGCATGTGTCTTTGACCCCCGTGTCGTTCCCCAGCCCTGTCCCAGAGCACGACCCAGCGGCTAGAGGCCCTGGTCGGCGAAGGGGCGCTGCGGCAGCAACCAGAGCCACAGGGAGCAGTGGAACCGGCCGGTGAGTCTCGGCTGCTTTCCTTCGAGTGTCGAATTTACTTCATTCGTTATCCGAGGCACTTCGATAAAGGTCCGCCTATCTTGGAGTGTCTTATGCCTGCCTCTGTTCTGCAGCCCCACAATGGCGGGAGCGCTCCAACGATCGCGTGATGCAGGAGATGGCGGCCGGGATGGTGCTAGGCGCCAGAGTGGCGCGCGGCAGGGACTGGCCGGCAGATGACAATCTCGACGGGGATCCCCCTGGACCCGGCACCGTCGCCAAAATAACACACGTTAAGAATTCTCCACTCTAACTCTGCACTGAGATAGTTTTTTGTTGAAATTTAATTCTCTCTCAGTCAAGTCGCCATTGTTTGCGAAAGGAGTCAACATCTGGAATAAAAAGAACAGAATTAAGTACAACAAATATAGGAAATAATGTGTTACTCACAAGTAAATTCACCACTTAAAAAATTAGTAACAGTGTAAGCACCATCCCCTACAAGATGTTCCTCATTATCAATAACACCTGGAGTATTATGAAGCAAATCATGGTACAGAGGACTACGCCTGAATATACGATTGTCATTCATGCTTCCTACTTCACCCACATGAATCTGACGAACTAACAAGGTAGGTTTACGCCAGACCGCGTCTTGTCGTAACAGGCTTCGCGATGTCTCGCTGCCTGTTTCTCCAATCCGCGCCTGGCGTAAGTACCTACCTTGGCCTGCGGCGCTAGCCTGCCTGCGGCAGGCAATGGCTTGTCCATTGTTGGTTATTTTTTAACTTTTTGCATTCTGGGGGGCTCCGCCCCCCAGACCCCCCTACATTCTAAATAGAGTTGTTTTATCTACAGATAACACGATCTTGACCCTTGTCACTTTTTAACTTGTCGAGGCTTGGGGGCTCCGCCCCCCAGACCCCCCTTTCTCCAAGACAGAAGTGAGCTACCCGCGGAAAACTCGATTTTTCGCCGTTTTTTAGGTGTTTTTTGGCTATAAAAACTGAATCATTTGAGCTAGGGTAGTGAAATTTCGCGTGTGCCGAGCCAAGGACATACCCAAAGAGTGTGCAAAATCTCACCGAGATCGGCCGAGCCGTTCAGGAGGAGTAGTGCAGACACACAGACAGAAAAAACTTTTCAACCCCACTGGAGTAACAGGCTTCGCTATCGCTCAGCCAATAAAGTATGATCTACCACAGTTTGCACATTGATGCTGCGGACATGATGCCGGTTGACGTACTGGCCTGCATCTTCCAAAGGTGCTGTAATATTAATGTGCGTGCAGTCCACAGAGCCTATTACACCAAGGAAGCTAGTTGCTGCAGCAAAAGCGGTTTGGATTTGATGTCTCAACTGGCGTAGGCCATCTGATGTACTGTTCTGCTAACTCCCGAAGAGCCTCAACTACATATGAGTAAAAGTAGTAAAGCGTGCTGGGTGCTACTCCAAATCGAAGTGCCACACTTCGGAAAGCATCAGGTGTCGCCATGAGCCAAAGAACCATGAGCATAACATCTTGAAAAGGGGTTCGCTCCCTTCTCACCCTCCCCATCGCCCTCAGGTGGTCAAATACCGTGCTTGTGAGAAGCTGTACAGGAAATAAATTGAAGAGATTGAACCCCTGAGTGGTTCATCTTGCATGGACTGATGTTTGCATGCGCCTTTTCTGGTCACCCAACTCTTACGACAAGTGTCGAAGAAATTTTTTTTCTACTCCGTCAACAAGCCACGCATACAGTTTTGTTTTATACTGACCATACTTCTTGGAGTTGTTCTTTGTGGTCCATGTGACAATGTAACAGGGATATATTTCAAATATCTATCCACTTTCTTCAAACGTTTACCTGAAAGTGGTAAAAAATGGGGAAAAAAACTTATTTTTTTCAATTAAAAAACTGTGAAGACTGCTCAGTCAAAACAAAAAAATAAAATTCAAATATCTCTCTGTTACATTGAAGTATAGGGGTTTAGGTAACTCCAAAACAAATTTCAGACCATTCCATCAAAAAACTTTGCGTGGCTGATTTTTCTACTAAATGCTTAATTTCAATGAAAAAAGCCTACTGTGGCTAAATGGGTGGGTAGATTTGGATGAAATTTGGTGTGTAATATATTCCTACCTAGTACTTCAACACCCTTAAGTTTCAACCACCACAGCCAAGTGGTATAGAAGTTTCCATTTTCACCCACACCTCACCTTAAAGCATGGATCTCCAAAAGCATGGTATTCATTGATAAAAACTGTGACATGAACCCAAACGTGTTCATGACCTAAGCAAAAACAAGTACGGTTTATATAAATGGTTAAAAAATGGTGACACGGATATGGATCAGTGCAAATAGAGGAACGAAAAACCTTCCTAACCTGTATATCTCTTCGAGTTCCATCAGTTCCGCAGCGAAAATCCTACTGACAAGTATTAAAGCTTGGAGCTCTTCATCTTCCTCTTCTTGCATCATCATTAACACAACTCCGAAGTCCCGGGCTTCCTGGTCATTCATGTCGTTCTCTATTTTCCAACACAACTCAATTTAACTCAACTCGACTCAACTTGTGACAGTTTGCCTCGCCTCGCCAGTGGGGTTCTACCGGTTCTCTCTCCCCTCCCCGCCCATTCCCCTCCCCATGTCTCCCTGGCATCCGACCGCTCCCGGGCAGGCGTGAGTCGACGCCTGGACCAGCGTGAGGGCGACTCCGAGCCAGGCGTCGAAACCGACGATTCTTAACTGAATATAGCACTGGCCTGCACGCTTATCATCTTACGTTGGTTTTCGTGCGTAATACGATGATTTTCCATCGTAAGGTACGACAAATTTCCAACCTGCATAATACGCACGAATGTCAACGTAAGGTACGCAGGATTTTCAACGTAAGGTACGTTGGTTGCGTTTGTAGTACGATGACATTTCAGCGTAATACGCATGTTTTGATTTCAGCGTATGTTACGTTCGCGTTACCATCGTAAGATGATAAGTGTGTGCGTAACATTGCGGTCAGAGCAAGCGCAAGGGGCTGTTCACTCACGACGTCGCGCCGCAAGGGCGGTACGTGTTCTGCGTACGCTGAGGTTCATGGGACACGGGGGGGTCCGAGCCAACGTCACGTTACGCGAAACACATCCTGTCTGAGAGCACATTCAGACGTCAAATAAGGGTATTGATAAAGTGTTTATCTGAGAAACTTTGCGTAACATTGGGCTGTTGGAGGGGGAGGAGGTTCTGACCTAGCGTAACGTTACGAGACATGGGGGTTCCTCATGTTACGCTGTAGCACAGCGAAAAGCTTGAAGCAGCAGCGGTGCCCGATGCGAGGGAAACGAAGGCATTGTTCAGTCTTCGACGAAACGTTTTCTTCTATTTCTTCTGGATTCTAAATCAGGTGCCTCGCGTGGTCCACGATAGGGAAAATTAAACACTTCAAATCCCGTGGTAAGTTTACTTGCCATAAATTTGGCAAGCATATTAGAATGCCGAAATTTGGCAAGCTTTGACCTGAAACCTTCTTTAGCTTTCCAAGTTATGGCAAGGTAAGGAAAATTCCGGGCCAAGCTTTCCAATTTTTGGCATTCAAGACGGCTTGCCAAATTTGTGGCCAGTAAACTTACCACTCGATTAGCAGTGAAGTATAGAGTACTTTCGTAGATCCCTGAACCGGAAGCACACAGACGCCACGTTGGCGGATGTAGATCCTAACTTGACATGGGAAAGAGACGTTAGTCAAACGTATCGGCCACACTTGAACAAAAACAGTCGTTTGATACTTGTTTGCGGTGCATATGTGCTTCACGAGCAACATTTGTACAGCTCGGCTATAGTTTTAGATCCGAAGAGAGGTTAGTTTCCGGCCAATTTGGCGTCTGCTGGCCTGCTTGCTTCCGGTTCAGGATCTACGAAAGTACCCTATTCTCAAGGCTAGGTAGACCCTTTCGCTCGCCGCCGAGTGGAGTCCTTCTAAGTAGTAAACAAGCAGAAACGAGAAAGCGCGCCATTGAGCGGCCGATGCTGCAAACTTCGCCCAGACCTGCGCTTGTAACCAGTCGTGGCCCAGAACTTAAAGAACTCCGACAACTTTTTAGCACTTTCACTTAAAATAGCAAAACCCTCTGCTTGGGAGAAGCTAATGAGAATAATTTATTGAAAATTCTACATACCGTAAACCGGGGTAACTTGAGACAGCAAGGGTAACTTGAGACACTTCTGCTTTTCCACCTTTTTGGAGCTGCCACCTGGCTCGGCACATTCCGAGGTCAAAACTGCCCTAGCACTTTTTTTCATACTTGTTTGGAAAGACGATTAAGCGTGTGAACGGCAGGTTGGGACCAAGCTGGTCAGATCTATAACGATTTTTCAATTTTAGTAAATTTAACAATTTTAGAGAAGTGTTACAAGTCTCCCTTGGTACTCGAAACACGTCTTGCTGAGACCCAAATGACTGTAGTACCTTTCAACCCTATAATTTCAACATTCTAAATGCAGCATTGGTTTTGAGGGAAACCCATCATTCATCGGGTAATACTGACTTTTATAGAAAATGGTTACTGTGCGGGGTAACCTGAGACACCAAATTTCATTGAATTTGACGGAAGTTGAGTGGCGTAACTTGACACTGGCACCTCCTTGTACTACAGGGTGGTTTAAAGTAACGGACCTCTCCGTTCTAAGATCAAAACTAAGCCGCATTTGATCGGGAATCACTTTTTTAGACAGTGTAGAGGGTCCCAAGTGGATATGCAGCTTAAAGTTGGAGTGTTTTCTCAACTACTCACGGACTAGATGAGACATAATAAATCTTGAAGTCTCAAAATATGAGGAAATTAATTGCCTTTCCAACGAGCTAAATGTCATTGAAATCGTACAACTTATAGCCCAAGAACCGTCGATTTTTTGAAGAAAAACAACTGTAAAAATAGTTTAAGGATTTTGAGTAAATTTTAAAAATTGACTGAGACTATATACTTTTGCAGGAATGGACTTGTGTACGTAGAAACAAGGTAGGTCTACGCCAGACCGCGTCTTGTCGTAACAGGCTTCGCGATGTCTCGCTGCCTGTTCCTCCAATCCGCGCCTGGCGTACCTACCTTGGCCTGCGGCGCTAGCCTGCCTTCCGCAGGCTAGGCCTGGGCGATTATTGGTTGTAATCGTAATCGGCCGATGAATAAAATAATCGCGATTGGTGTCGATTAGCAGTTCGGTAATCGGTAATCGAAAACGTACACGATTAACCGAAAATCAACGATTAATCGGGGGAAACCGATTATTTGGAAATTGACAAACAAAGGTTAATACTCGTACTATTGTGAAAATAGCATTTAATAAGAGGATAGGAAAACCATTGGCGCAACCTCGAGTGTCTGAGACAGCTTTTTCGTGCGTTAACTGAAAACTTTTCAAGACTTTTCCGCTCAGAATTTGAACAGGTGATGCATAGAATATCCGATAATGAGACGATTAATCGATAATCGATCATCGTTAAATAATCGGTCAATCCTTCGATTACCGAACCACTAATCGGGGGTTTGAAATAATCGGACGATTAACAAAATAATCGCGATTATTTTCGATTATTCGATTCATCGCCCAGGCCTACCGCAGGCCATGGCTTGCCCATCGTCGGTTACTTCTAAATTGTTGCATGCTGGGGGCTCCGCCCCGCAGACCCCCCTTCATTCCAGATAGAGTTGCTTCATCCACAGATAACACGATCTTGACCCTAGTTACTTTTCAACTTGCCGGGGCTGGGGGGCTCTGCCCCCCTGACCCCCCTTTCTTCAAGGCAGAAGACATTTGCCGGCAGAAAACTCGATTTTTCACCGTTTTTAGGTGTTTTTCGGCTATAAAAACTGAACCAGTTGAGCTAGGATAGTGAAATTTCGCGTGTGCCGAGCCAAGGACATACCCAAAAAGTGTGCAAAATCTCAGCCAGATCGGCCGAGCCGTTCAGGAGGAGTAGTGCTGACAGACAGACACACAGACAGACAGACAGACAAAACTTTTCAACCCCACCTGAGTAACGGGCTTCGCTATCGCTCAGCCAATAAAGAAAAATGTCTTAGCAGGTGTCAGGGTTGGATGTGAAATAAGAGAATCGCTGTACTTAGTTGACAGAGTTGGATGTGAAATGGGAGAATCGTTGCGCTTCTGAAGTGCCGTTATCCCACAAATTACCAATGTAACCTTGATGAAAAAATCTTAATATAAGGACCAAAACTCTTCTGATATATTCCACAAGTACTACTTTTCATTGAAAATGAGTTATATGTCTCAGAAAATCAGTATGGACTGGCAAAAAACCCACTTCCGTGAAAAAGCAAAGTAAAAACTAGAAAACTAAAAACTAGCTTGGACAAGCACACAGCTACAGGTGTATGCTTGGCAAGCACACAGCTACAGGTGTATGCTTGGCAAGTACTCATCTATAGGTGTATGCTTGGCCAAGCACACTTTAATCCCACCCATTTAAAGGCACACTCCTACAGCTGTGTGCTCGGCCAAGCATACAGATGTGTGCTTGTCCAAGCATACACCTATAGATGTGTGCTTGCAAGTACGCTTCCACAGCTGTGTACTAAGCACACATTTGATCTTGTAGTGTAGATTAAAATAAACCGGAAACCGGCTCTATTAGTCGCCTTCCCTGTTAAAAAAAAAAGTCTGAAAATTCAGACCAAATTGGTAAGAAGTTATTAACAGACTTGAGGTCTGAAAATTCAGACCATTTAGATGGTCTGAAAATTCAGAACTCGAGAGTCTTACATTTAAGAGTTTGGTGGTCTGAAAATTCAGTCCTGTACGAAGATTGTGAACTTTAAGGTTCGTGACATGTTCAATATGACATAGAAAGAATCTCAGGTGTGTGTGAACCTCCAGAGAGGACAACATTGAGTACAAATTGTGATGAGGGAGAAGGTCCTATGTCCTTTTCCCTGACTCTCGAGAGGGCCTCTCGGAGAGGCCGGCCTGTGGCACCCAAGGAAATGGCGACACGGAGCCACCCGCGAGAGGTAAATTAGAATGTGGATTGTTCAACTTCCACCCATATTACGGACATAAATCTTCGAGGGGGCAAAAACTCGCGCAATCATGTGTACACGGCCCCCGAAATCACATGCGAATCATTGAGAATCACGCGAAATCAAGCAATCCGAAATCAGCCAAAATCACTAAAATCGACCGAAATTAGGCAGAATCACACGAAACCAGGCCAAATCAGTCCGAAATCATTTCTTTCCGAACACAATCACACGCAATCACGCTCAACATCACCCTGGTGCGTCGCGAAATAAGGCAAAATCAGCCATGAAATCAATTAAAACCATGCGCAATCATTGCGTTTTCCGAATCATGTGTACACGAAAATCCCGAGTTTTTGCCCCCTCGTAAATCTTGCAGCAGAGAATGGTTCTCATATGACCGATTAAGTCCTGTCCATTTGGAGCTTTTCAACTAATATATTTTCACATTAAAAGCCTTTTAAACAGAAGTAGGTATGTTCCACAACATGCGCGCCATCTAGCGGACAAACGAAATCTTGGGTTGGTCTGAATTTTCAGACTGCGCTGGTCTGAATTCAGGTTCTGAGACGATCAGGTCGCAATTTTCATACCGGAAGGCAAAATTTTCAGACAAGCAGTCTGAAACAAGTCTGAAAAATAGATTCAGACCACCAAGTCTGACAAAAGTGGTCTGAATTTTCAGATTTTTTTAACGGTGTTTCAATCGTCGCCGTGTGAAGAACTAAAGGAATCTCAAGGCAGGAACCACTTGCGCGCCACCGAGCGGCGACTGTAGTGAACTTCGTCCTGACCTACGCTACGCTTGTGACTAACCAGGGTTCAGCTTTTGACAGTTAACACTACCCGCCGCTAGGTGGTGCGCTGCTGGTCCCAGACTTTTTCATTACTTTTGATCTTCACACGGCGATGACTGAAGGGGTGTATCTCTGTATCTGTATCTTGCAAGGCTCGAAAAACAGGTAAAAATAGGGTGTCGTATTGAACCCCTGGACTTAAGTACTTATTTACTCGCCCTTATTATGGCGAAGAGTTTCGAAATCTCCCCTAGGACTGTTCCAAACCTGTTGACCCATTCCGGTTACTTCCGCTTTCCCCCGGGTTTTGTCCGAATTGAGTCCGGGCCGAACCGGAGTCTTGGCATTTGACTCACTGTCAAGGGCTGTCCGAAAGAGTCCTACCTTCAGGTACAGCTGTAGCCGAACTCTCCGAGCTGGGCCAGCATGCGAGGCTCGACTCGAGCAGAGTCGAGTCGAGCCAGAGCCCAGCCGGGCGGCCCATGCACCTGAGTCGAGCCGGGGCGCCCGGACCCTGGGTGTACGCGGAAAACGCCGCTGAGGGGTCGCCGCGGTTACCTGAGAGACGCGGCCAGATGCAGTTTTCGCCAGTTATCGGCGCGCTGTTGAGCGAGTCACCACGCACAGCACCGCTTCCGTGATCTGTGAGCTTAGGAAACGCGCTCAAGTTTCCATCCACGCCACATCTGCACACCCTTCAGTCGTTACTTTCAATTGTTTGAACCCAAGGTATTGTAGATTTGGACCACAGAGGTGGTTAAAGTGAAGCGTTCGAAATTTTTCATGAGGCCTACCTCTCTGTATTTGTCGAAGAAACGTTGCGCGTCGAGTGACATTTCAGCCGTTTTTGTTCGAAAGTAGGAAATTTAGAGTTCCATGCCATCCAGGCAGAAGCCCCTGGCAATATTTTAGAAGATCTTTGGGGTGTTTAACCAAGTTGCAAGGCTCAACATAGGTTCTGTCTGGCATTAGTGGGCGGATTATGTCGGAAGCTCATCCTTAGCGGCCAAAAGTTACAGAGAAATCTTTGAACGGCTTGTGAATGCTGTCCGAACCCAGAACCCAACGCGTTTCTGAGTCCTCTTGCACGCTTTAAACCTTGCGAAGTAACTTGAGCATACATAGTACAAACAAATTTACTTTTTAACATATGAAGAAATGGTTCGTTATTTGCGAATTACGAAGCTTTGGAAGCTTATGTATGCTCAAAATACTTGGTTATGACTAGCTGCTTTTCTGGGTAAGGCCTTTATTGGTTCGCAAGGTTTTCTCATTGCGTCTGTCTTCTCCGTGCATCGTCTGCTGGGCATTGGGAGTATACTGAAGGTCCTTTGGAGAAGATTGATCATAGGCTACAGAAAATATTGGGTTTTGGGTTCGGAGAATGAAGGATAAAGTTGGGATTGCTCTCTGAATGCGAACTCTTTATTTTTCAGTGTGCGCGCCGCAGAAACAAACGCGTCGTTCTGCACCCGAGGCGTCGCTGTGATTGCCGTCTCTGCTCTCCGCCTCGATTCCTGGACTCTGGACACCCTCCGCACTCGACGAAGCTCAGGTTTTGGGTAAGTATCTGGTTACAGTCTCATTCCAGGAACGTGACATCACGTTCAAACGAATGTGACAAAATATCACGTTCGTTTGAGCACTGTGTCACGTTCGTTTCGATGTGAATAAGCTAATTTATGGCTGATTCACATCGAAACGAACTTGACTCAATGCTCAAACGAACGTGCCATTTTGTCACATACGTTTGAACGTGATGTCACGTTCCTGGAATGAGAGAGAACACGTGATAAAAGATATTGATGCAGGGATTAGCTATACGATGGAGGGGTGCCTTAGAAAGCAACCAAGCAACCGCATAGTTTAGAAAGTACTACCATAACATTCAGGGGAGGTTTTAGTGAAAATATTGCATTTTTCAAATTGAGCCCTAGTGTAAACATTTGTTGCAGATGTGTAGCACTACATAGTTACAGTCAATCATGAAAAATAGTGCCCCAACACCTTCCTCCAAATCCAGTCGAACATGTTTTTTCAGCCGATTTTAGCAATATCTTAGAAAAAATTCTCCTACGCAAAGTATTTTTACGTAAACTGATGTTCTGGACATTTTTCACTTCTTTGGCTCATTTGCAATAAAGCATGGCATCACCAAGACATGGGACCCAACAAGACTTAAATATCAGGAGTTTTACCATTTTCTTAAAATTTAAGGGGGCAGTCTCGTCCCTGTACCCTTTTTTAGGGGGGTTTTCCCTCCCTCTTTTGATGACGATGATTTTTTAAATATACCTCTTAGAGACAAACGGTAAAAACCAAATAAAAGAACAGAATTTTTACAACATTTTCAAAAAAAAAAATTTTGTTTTGTCTTCAGTTGTAAGGGAGTTATAGGGAAAGCAACAAAAGCCGACAAAACATACAAAATTTCACTGCGCGACAATTTTCTCCGGAAGTTCTTAACTTTTTGGCAATCGGTTTGCGGCATCTTGAAGATGAAAAAATCCTCTTTACTTTAACCTACAATCGTCCATATAGCCCAAGGATTACACTTTTTAAAACGTAACCAAAAACCTATACAAACTTAGGAACGGTTTTAATTTAGGTTTTCCTTGGGCTACATGGACGATCGTAGGTTAAAGTAAAGAGGATTTTTTTATCTTCAAGATGCCGCAAACCGATTGCCAAAAAGTTAAGAACTTCCGGAGAAAATTGTCGCGCAGTGAAATTTTGTATGTTTTGTCGGCTTTTGTTGCTTTCCCTATAACTCCCTTACAACTGAAGACAAAACAAAATATTTTTTTTTGAAAATGTTGTAAAAATTCTGTTCTTTCATTTGGTTTTTACCGTTTGTCTCTAAGAGGTATATTTAAAAAATCATCGTCATCAAAAGAGGGGGGGGGAAACCCCCCTAAAAAAGGGTACAGGGACGAGACTGCCCCCTTAAGTGACATGCTGCCTAAAAACACAACTTATGATTTTGTAATGGTCCCAGTATCTTACGAATGCCACGGTTTATCAAGTATGAACCAAAGAAGTGAAAACTGCCCAGAATATCTGTTTACGTAGAAATACTTTGCGTAGGAGAATTTTTCAAGATACGACTGTTAATAGTAGAACATGCCTCTTCGACTGGATTTAGGGCAAGGTATAGCTCTCCGAACTTTAAATTTTACTAGTTACTATGAAATACTTCTAATTTACAATGAATATTGATAGTAGGACTCAATTTGAAAAAAAAAGTAAGATTTTCAGTAGAACCTCCCCTTAAACAATTCTACAATGCCTTAGTTTTCTGTGTACAGTCGCTGTCACTCTCTGCTATTTGCGAAGAAGTTATCCCACCACTCCGGCTCGAGGCGAGCCCACACTAAATGTTTTTGTACAAATTTTGTACGAGACATCACAGTTTTATGTGCACACGAACTTTTCGTACAAATTTATACGAAATTTTGCACATTGGGGGAAAATTTGTGCAGTTTTTCGTACAAAAACTGTACGAAAAGTTCGTGTGCACAAAAAAGTGTGATGTCTCGTACAAAATTGTACATAAGGGAGTATGGGGCGATTTGTAACAGGGGCGATTCGTAACAAATGCGTTTATTAATTTAAGGGGAGGTTCTGGTGAAAATCTTGCTATTTTCCAAATGGATCCCACTGTCTCAATTTGTTCGGAATATAAAATCCTTCTTCGAGGAGACTAAAATTTGACTTTTGAAGGCACATGCCAGGCTCTGAACACAGTCGAAGAGTCTTTTTGAGCCTGTTTTGGCTGTATCTTAAAAAATCTTCTTGCGCATACCATTTTGTCGTAAAAGGTTGACCTTGACGTTTTTCACTTCTTCAATTCATTTTGAAAAGATGCCGGCATGCATAGCTCAAAATTTCCATTACATTATTAATTATGAGCTTTTTTAAGCTGAAAAGTCCCTAAAATTTGTCCATTTTGTACATTTTTGGACAATTATATTGAAATGCTTGGTTAAAAAGCTTGCGAATAAAAATGTAATTAACGTTTTGAGTTCTGCATGCCGGCATCTTTTCAAAATAAATCGAAGAAGTCAAAAATGTCAAGGCCAACCTTATACGACAAAATAGTATGCGCAAGAAGATTTTTAAAGTTAAAGCCTAAATAGGAGGAAAAGGCACTGCGACTGGGTTCAGGGCATAGAATGTGCCTCCCCAATGAAAAATTTAATAATTACTTGGTAAGACATCAAATTTTTAACAAATTTTCACAGTGGGACCTATATAGGAGAAAATAGCATTTTCACCAGAACCTCCCCTTAAAATTTGAATTTATGACCAAGTTTGGTACTTTTTCGTTTGAACAAGAAAATATTCCGCTTTCAACGCTATTGACCGGCGCAACGCATACTTTTGTGTAACTCCGGGAGATCCTTGTGCTTTTAACAACAGACTGACAAAATTTCAACTAGATCTGACATTTACTATAGTGCCTCAAATGGCTATTTACCCGGACCTCGTTCTTTGTTGCAGGATCCACTTGAATCCAGCCTCGCCATGACCGGAAGGGGCAAGAAATCGAAGGCCGCAGCGAGTGGCGGATCGGAGAAGCAGCCTCCCAACAAGAAGCCAAAGCCAAGTCCGTCGTAAGTATTCCCCGAGGTCAATTGCTCCAATTCCACACTCCTAAACCAATTCGAAGTATTTTCGGGCATTGTATTGCGCAGAGTTTCTTCGACAAGAATTGAGACCAGACCTCAAAAGAATTTAGTGCGCTTCACTTCAACCACCTCTATGCATCAAACCAAAAATAAATACCAGAAACTTAAAACAGCCAAAAAAATTTAGAGCCAAAATTTTAATCTTTGTTCAAACAGTAACAAATTTTGTTCAAATGCAACAATTTTTTTTTGAGGTCTGGTCTCAATTTTTGTTGAAGCATAGACAATCAACTATATCCATAGACCAACTGCTTCATGCCCGGCTGGGATCCATGTGTTACGCCGCTCCCTGATTGGTCGGTACCTTTCACTTCAACATTTCGAGGTTAATAACAGGAAAAGTAGCGATATACATCGGCAACTTTGGCCCGTCCCGTGCATTAACAAATGTGTGAATTTCGCCTTTGTTTAACCCTGACGGGTTTGAACTTGAGTCTGGGGTCAAAATAGATGTTATTTTCGTCATCAGCACCCTCAAAATCATAGGAAACAATTCAAAAACTCTAATAAAAAGAATGTTCAAAATATAGCCCACTGGGATTTGAACCCGGGTCCAAACTTCTCCGATTCGCTTGAAACTGGCACCGTTGGTTTTGTCTCGTCGCCCCGATTCCAAAAATACCCCTACATGCCCTGCTAGCTGTATCCGTTGCCGAAATCCTCCTCGACCCCATGTAGACCGTGATGCACCTGCAGCAGCGCCCCCGGGACTCGGATCGGATTTGCTGCCACCGGGCGGTTCTTAGGGTCACCCAAGGAGGCTGCATACCAAATTTGGTCAAGATCGGACCACGGGAAGTCCTCGGACGAACGGACGAACGAACGGACGCACATCATGCATCATACTATATGCCCGTCCCTCCGTCATTTTTTTACAAAAAATAAACGGGACGGGCCAAAAACTCGACAATTGTAAATTTTAGTGGACTGATTGCATTCAGCATGTTCAAATCTATGTTTCTGGCTCTTGGTTTTTGAGTAAAGCTTGTTGGTATAAATACCAAGTTAAAAACAAACAATCATGCACTGAAAAGTCAAAGGTCAGAATTCATTCCAACCTAGGGGAAAGAAAAAAAGTCTCGCCAATTTTTGGCGAGAAACAAAAGTCTCACCATTTTTTTGGCGAGAAACTAAAGTCTCGCCATTTTTTGGCGAGAAACAAATGTCTCGCCAAAATATGGCAATAATTGCAACCCCACTCTATTTGATACTGGGAAATATATCCCAGTCAAGATCACTCCGGTAAACACATCACTAACTACAGTCTTTCAATTACTCAAGTTGAAAATAATACAGGAAGCTATCACTTTCAGTTATGAAAATATTAATGTAAGGTTATATTATGTGAATTTGGTTTGCGTCAGCAAAGCGTTGCCCAACTATTTACTTTTTTTGTCATCGTTTAAAAAGACATTGGTCCAGTGAGTCAGATCCTAAAAGATCTCTTTCAGTGTCCATGTAGTCAAAGATAATGTCTTTAATAAGAGGCCTAAACAAAGCGACATCCATCATGACACAAGTTCTTACTCACTCCTTTGACTTATTCCAATCCCCAGCTAACCTTGCTGCACTTGGGCATTGTTGGAGGTTCCATGGACAGAACTCGGTTAATAAACTCGAGTTAAGAAAGTTCTGTGCACTATCTAGCACTCTCCGTTTCGCAGTCTCCACTGGACAAAATGCCAAAGTACAGCAGCAGCAGCACTTTAAATCGCCAACACAGATATAATAAAGAAAACATTTTAGTGCACGCGCAACACAGCAACAGGACTGCCATGTTGTGTCGTGAGCGCCTCGGCCCAGCACCAGCTCCAACTTGGTGCTGGCTCGAGATGTGGTGGTGGGGGGGATGTCGTAGGATATGGTCTGAGTATGAGAAATCAAGTTGTAGCCAAAAACAGCATCATGTTCATGTGTGTCAAGACAGAGTCGGGTGGAAATTTGTTGTCATGTAGTTCAGGGGTTGGGAAAAGATGCTGTGAAAATGAAATGAATAAAATCTGCAGTGGATCTTAGAATAGTTTTGACAGCACTGTGAAAACATTTTGCTCTTTTCTGGTGTTGTGAAGTTATAAACAAAAACTTATTTGCTTATTTATTATATCATGATTCTATCTGAATCGCTGTCTTTCTTCTATATTCATGCTGCAAGATTATCATCTTACTGAATTCTTAAATTTTCATTTCTTGCAGGTTCGTACAATCTCAAAAAGTATATCTGTTTACACTTGGGTCGAGGTCTTTCGACCAATGACCTAAACTGAAAGACTGCTCAGTTTGGGGAAGTAGTCGCTTGATTATGCTAAACTGCCTGTAGCTATTCTTTTTTAAACAAAAAAAGATGTTTCTTAATAAACAATAATATTCCTGAATAGAACCATGTTAATACGATGAGATGCCTTGGTGGTATCTTGTTCAGGAAAATTCAATGAACAGGATTATTCACACATCTCACTAAGATGAACTAAAATATTGAAACAAATGTATTGGCTATTAAACACAGTTAATTTAATAGCACGAGCGAAACCAACAGAACACAAAACAGCCACGCCATGACCAGCTCCGTTTCTCCTCAATCCTCAAATTAGAACCAGAAAAATATAGTTCATGTAAATAGTCAGATATTGTTTTACAAAAAAAAAAACTGTTTAATCCATAAAGCTTATTTTCTGAGAACCAGCCGTCCCAAAGCTGTTTGCTGACAAAATATTCTTAAAACATCACTAAATGAACCCTTCCATGGTGCGCCTGAAAAAAGGCAATGTATAGAATCTTTCTGTCCTCATTTTGTTGAAGCTATATTTAACAAACGATGCATCTGGTAAAACATCATGCTAGAGCTTTTCTATCGGAGATCGGATTTTCAACAAGTTTGATTCCCTGCCTCAACCAACATTGCCTCGGGCGTTGGCGTTCGTTCGACTCAATAAGACCTTCTAGCTCCGTTCCTGTCAGGCGGAGGGGGGAAGTCCATGGGAACAAAATGTCGTAGAAGGGTACGAGGAATGGAAACCTGTTGTCCGGACCGGTGTTCGAATACCCGGGACGGCGAGATTCAAAATAAAAGATTCGCAAGCGGCATTATTTTTGTCATCACCATCGCAAAGATGGCATTTTAAGAAATAGATTGACGTTTCACCCACCCCGATCGGCCAAAATTTGGCTGAAATATGGCCGTTTATAAGTCGGGTCAAAATGATGTGAAAAAATGCACTTTTTGGGAAAGCCATATTTTACAAACGATGCATCTAGTGAGATATTGTGCTAATGCTTATCTTTCGGAAATTAAATTTTAAACAAATTTGATCCCGTAGTGTTTTACCGTATCTGTGCCCCTGCGCCCCGGGGAGCGTCCGTAAATTAGAGGAGTTTGACCTTGTAAGGCCGTCTAGCCTCGTTCCTGTTCGCCGGACAGGGAAGTCCATGGGAACAAAATGTCGTAGAAGGGTGCGAGGAATGGGTACCTGACGTCGTCCGGACCGGTGTTCGAATACCCGGGACGGCGAGATTCAAAATTAGAGATTCGTACCCGGCATTATTTTTGTCGCCGCCTTCAAAGAGAGGGTATTTTTAGAAAGCGATTAACGTTTCACCCACCCAGATCGGCCCAAATTTGGCCGAGATACGGCCGTTTAAAAGTCAAATCAGCTCCAAATTTGCGCGATCCGTATTTTCTGTCCAATGGACTGTAAAGTAGTAGATAGTTTCAAATTTCCTTAGTTTTTGAAGATCTTTCACGCTCTAAAATTTCAAGTGGATGTCGCCAACCGTTCAAGAGTAACAGCGTAAAGGTACTGTTGAGTTCGACCCTTTTGGCCATACGGGACATCCACTGCAAGTTTGCCCGGCGCTGTCGACGAGTGTGTCAGATTCTCACCTCCCAACATTTCACTGTTTCGGAGGATCCCCGGGTGATCAGGGTGGGTTATAAATGTAGGTTTATTTTACAGGAAGCAGGCGCAGTACTAATAGCGACGTGTCACCCGATACATATTTAGTTTTAAGAACGCATTTTGAAAAGCCGCGTCGTCCGCACGCAGTTGAATTCGTCACCCTTCCCGCCACTTTCTGTCTAGGCCAACGTAACTTGGTTTACTTTGAACGCTGGACTGTGAACAGGGCGCGGCTTTAAAGCCCTCCCGAATCCCGAATCCCTTCGTCAGTGAGTGAAGACACCAAAGAGAGAAGATGGAATGGACAAATTTCGTTCCAAAGTTGACTGACGTAAAAATAAATTTTCACCTCAGAAACTGTAATGTTGTGATTTGAGTAATCACTGTCATTATTTTGTTAAGGGGGCTCATACATGTTAAAAGCACTTTTTTAAAAAAAAATTTTGATGTAGACGGATTAAGATTTTACAATTTCTGTGTTAAAATCCTTTTAGATAATTGAGTAAGCTTCATTTTGGCTTAAGGGAAAGTGACTTTGGACATTTTTTGGAGATTTAGTCGAAACGTTTAAAATTTTGCTTCTCGTAAGATTTTGTTCGCATACTTGCTCAGATCTGTGGGGAAAAAATCAGGGAGACTCATCCCCAGTAGCGTCATAGAATTGACTAGAATGGGCTTTATATCTGCAATAGTTTTCAAGAAAAAAAATAAAAACAATTTTTTGTTCAAAAATTTGTTTAAAAAATTGTTAAAAAAATTGTTTTTATTTTTTTTCTTGAAAACTATTGCAGATATAAAGCCCATTCTAGTCAATTCTATGACACTACTGGGGATGAGTCTCCCTGATTTTTTCCCCACAGATCTGAGCAAGTATGCGAACAAAATCTTACGAGAAGCAAAATTTTAAACGTTTCGACTAAATCTCCAAAAAATGTCCAAAGTCACTTTCCCTTAAGCCAAAATGAAGCTTACTCAATTATCTAAAAGGATTTTAACACAGAAATTGTAAAATCTTAATCCGTCTACATCAAAAAATTTTTTTAAAAAAGTGCTTTTAACATGTATGAGCCCCCTTAACGAGACAGCATTGGTGCTTTGCCTGACCAACCGTGCAAACATTCAAAGTGTCGTTCGATTTTATTCTAACTCCATCCATTAACCCTATTTTGTTCGTCGTCTGCTCCTTGGTGCGGCATCACAAACTTTACACCGTAATACGGTGCGTTTCATTTTTCATACTACGTAGCGGCATGCCTGGGGAAGGTGGAGGGGGAAACTAGAGCCAGCTCCAAGTTGGAGCTGGCGCTGGGCCGAGGCGCTCTTGTGTCGTCTGCTACAGTAGCATTTGTTTTGCGGTAGTGCCAACCTATACATTTTTTTCGTTACTTGTAAAATTACTTTTGGAAGGCAGTGCAGGTTGGCACTACCGCAAAACAAATGCTACTGTAGCAGACGACACAACGAGGACAACAAATGAATTTCAACATGGCAGTCCTGTTGCTGTGTTGCTTGTCTGTACACTAAAATGTTTTCTTTATTATATCTGTGTTGGCGATTTAAAGTGCTGCTGCTGTACTTTGGCATTTTGTCCAGTGGAGACGGCGAAACGGAGAGTGCTAGATAGTGCACAGAACTTTCTTAACTCGAGTTTATTAACCGAGTTCTGTCCATGGAACCTCCAACAATGCCCAAGTGCAGCAAGGTTAAGCTGGGGATTGGAATAAGTCAAAGGAGTGAGTAAGAACTTGTGTCATGATGGATGTCGCTTTGTTTAGGCCTCTTATTAAAGACATTATCTCTTACTACATGGACACTGAAATTGACCTCCCACTGGACCAATGTCTCTTTAAACGATGACAAAAAAAAAGTAAATAGTTGGGCAACGCTTTGCTGACGCAAACCAAATTCACATCATATAACCTAACATTAATATTTTCATATCTGAAAGTGATAGCACTGAGAATCCAAACGCTATGAGTATAGCGTCAATTGGTGCAATGCAAAAGCATTGCACATGAAGTGCAATGCCTCCCCATTCCCATGCATTAGCATAGGGCATTTTCGGGATGCATTGCACGTAAGGTGCAATATGGCTGAGGCATTGCACGTATGGTGCGATATCTCAGCTGTATTGCACCATACGTGCAATACTCATAGCGTTTGGAATTTCAGTGAGCTTCCTGTATTATTTTCAACTTGAGTAATTGAAAGACTGTAGTTAGTGATGTGTTTACCAGAGTGATCTTGATTGGGATATATTTCCCAGCATCAAATAGAGTGAGTGGGGTTGCAATTATTGCCATATTTTGGCGAGACATTTGTTTCTCGCCAAAAAAAGGCGAGACTTTAGTTTCTCGCCAAAAAAATGGCGAGACTTTTGTTTCTCGCCAAAAAATGGCGAGACTTTTTTGTCTCACCAAATTTTGGCCATCAGTCTTGCCATTCAATTTTCAGTGCAGCTGTCGGCACGAGCGGCACGAGCGGTGTTCTTCCGTAAAACTTCCTCTGAGGCTCTAAAGTTAAAGTTCATTTTAAAAATCGAGCCGTTTGATGACATTCCTTATTTATGTGAGCTTCTTTTTCACCCACTGAAAGCAGCTGAACATCAACTTAAAGTGGTATAAACTCTTCGACAAGTGTGGCATCGACTGCACCAAGCTGCCTCGGCAGCGAACGCCGCGTCCTGATTGGTGGGAGCTCGAGCCTCCTCGACCAATCAGGACGCGGCGTTCGCTGCCGCGGCAGCTTGGTGACCAAAGCCGACGAATGACCAGTGAAGTGAAAGGTACTGACCAATCAGGGAGCGGCGTAACACATGGATCCCAGCCTGGGCATGAAGCAGTTGGTCTATGGTCTATGGTCTATGCCATCCAGGATTATACTACCAGTTCAAAGAAATGTTTTAAGTAACAACCTATGAATCTAAACACCCAAAACGCCAAATCTTGAAATACAAAAAGAAATTTCGGGTACTTTCTAAGATTGTCAATCTGACCTAACCTAACCCAGATATAAGTCCTTGAATCCGGTCTTTGCTGGTTGTTGCAGGAGTGGTGCACGCACTGAGCACTTTGTTCATAGTTTGCAACTCTGAAAAACCAAACGTGGTATAGACCGCGCCACTGGTGTGGTCAAATGGGTGTCATTTTGATCGCATTAGTTGGTGTGGTCTGAACACGTTTGGCCACGTTTGGTGGGGTCTGGACCACGTTTGGTGATGTCTTTCCATGCAATGACCACACCAAACGTGGTCTAGACCACAACAACTGATGCGGTCAAAACTTGACCACACCAGTTGGTGTGGTCTTCACCTACACCACCTATGGTTTATCAGTGAAGGAATTTGTCTTGACCCTAAGTGAATTCCTAGTCTCCATACCATGTCCGACCAAACACACTACACACACCTAAAGCCGTTGTGTTCGCAGCGTTTCATAAGTATTGCGTTGAATCTCGAAATTTGCTGCTTGTTTCAGGATGTGGTGCACGGAGTGCTGGTCCTGGGAGACGAAGAGCAAATGTTCCAAGGCGGGGCAGGCGAAGCACCGCTGCTTGCCCATCTCGGAGGCCATGGCGGAGGCCCAGGCTGCGTTCGACGTGGTCCACGAGGACATGAAGCGCAAGGAGCAGCAGCTGCTGCAAGTCAAGACTGCCTTCGAGGAGAAGGGCGCGGTGGTGCTGGAGGCCCGCCTCGACTCGCACGAGTCGGACGGGAAATTCTGGGTGGAAGGAGGCACCTTCCGCATCCACCTCGCCGCCACGTCAGTCAGCGAGCCCAACAAGGAAGACCTGCTGGAGGCACTCGAAGACTCATCCATGAGTTTTTATGGTGATGAGCCATCATTGTCCCTCCCAAGAGATCTGGTGAGGAATTTGTTCGGGAAGTCGCCTATCCGCCCGAATGGAGTGACCCTGCCGCGTGGAACGGTTCTTATCGAGAAGGGCTACCATAAAAACTTCTTGCTCAAGGTGTACGAGCGGGGTGTTCTACCACATCAGGGCGACGGGAAGAAAGTGTTCGGGCGGGTATCTGACGATACACTGGAAGCTTTTCAGACATGCTGGTGCGGCGGTGGTTTCCACTGCCCCGATAAGTTTTGTGATCACGAAAAGGGAGCTGAAATCGACGTTGTTGACGCCCGCTTCTTGTAAATTTCGCTTTACAGCCCTTTCTTATTAAGGCATGATATGATCGCAGGAAGATTTAATTTAATTTTTGCAAATAGGCAGACCAAGCCAAACCAATGCCGTCATTATTGCCCTCAACCTGATCTATTCATCGTTACCCTCTGCTATGTCAAATTTTTGTCTCGAGGTAAGCGCCTAGTCTGCCCGTTGGTTGAGAGAATGTATGTAGTTGTGCAGACTTGGTTTCTGAAGAGAATGCATTAAACCTGTACTTTATGTTTTCACCGTCGTTTCCCCACGATTAGATCGAGTTTTCAAGTCATGTAGTCTGGGTCACTGAGAGTCAGTTTCATTTTAGGTGCAAGGAATATGTTTGCTAATTTTTCCTTGGACAGTTTTGATTTAGAGTGGCGTTTTCCTTTACTGTAATGCTTTGACTCAAACAAAATTATGTTTTCGTTTCTCTCAGGTACTTGAATAAAAACTTTGAATACTAAGAGATGTATAACTTTAATTATTTTTGCCCTATAAGATCCAGTTTCTATGCACCCGCCAGGGAAAACTAAACAAATGAATAGTGCAAATTAAAATTAGTCGAAGGAAAGCATAAGGAATATCTGAAAACTTTGAAACGTGTAAGATACACCATAGTCAGTTTATGTGATTTAAATCTTCATGTTAGAATGGACTGTGGAACCACGTTCACTTAATTTTCTCAAATGGGGTGGCCTAAGGAGACAGATAAAGCGGAGCTAAGTTGATTTATGAAGCGGAAGAAGGGAATGATTCAACTTATCTCCAAATTGTGCCTCGGGATGGTTTGCATCATAACCCAAATTGTTTCACCCAATTCCTAACAGTTTAGGAGAAAATCCACATAAAAAATGGATCTAACTCAACTTGACTCCTTCAATGGTCTTAAGTTTATCGGAAAATGGAGGTAACTCAACCAAAGTCCACATAACTCCATTGCACCAAATGGCAAAAGGAGATAACCCAACTTGTGTCTTTAGGAATCTAATGTGAAAAGAATCAACTCAACTCCTTATCTCTAGTTGGAGAAAAGAGGTATCTCCAAAAATGTACCACAGAAATACAGACTCTATGCAGACCTCAGCTCCACTTGAATGGTCTCAAATTCCACCTTGTTTGGGAGAACTAAGTAAACATGGTTCCTTAATCCATTCCAACGTAAAGATTGAAATCACAGAAATCCTCTCAAAAGTAGTGCTTCTCTTCTGAAAATTTTTACACTTATTTCTCAGGCTTTCTTGACAAAAATGCAATTGCACCATTCATCTGATTGGATTAAATTTACCCTGCGAACAGTTTTTTGTGTCTCCTGAAAAATGATGAAAAGTAAGTTATCCCCTTCTTCCGCTTCATGGATCAGTTCAGTATAGTCTATATTGCTCTGGTTCATTTTTGGAGGGGCTCCTTCCATCCCAACTAGTATCCTAAAATAGAAAGGGGGGGGGGGATGGCAATAGGAGATAGCTCACCTTGTATTTATAAGAAGTTGAGTCGAGTTAGTTATCTCCTGTTGACATTTTGTGCAAGTGGAGTTATGTGGACTCAGGTTGAGTTGTCTCCTTTTGATGAAATTCAGACTGGAAACAGAGTCAATTTGATCCAAGAAGCGGAAGAAGGGTATAACTTCATTTTGACCATTTTTCAGGAGAAACCAAAAACAGAAAACTAGCATAATTATTTCATGGATGATGTACTGGATGATAACCTACCCAGTCTTCAGAATCTGGCAGTTATATATACTTTTTAATAGGAAAAAGACAGTGTTGGCAGATTTTAAAATATCAGTCCATAAGGAGCTCTAAGAGCCATTTTACCAGGCCTATTTTTATTTTTCTTCAAATTTGGAGTATTTTGACCCATTTTGGTCTTGTTTTAAGTTTATCAGGAAAACTAAGGAAGATATTAAGGAAAGGGCAACACTATCTTTTTCCTGTTCAAAAATTGATATTATTGCCAGAATCTGAAGGCTAGGTTGCTAATCCTTTGTCGTTAGGTGAATTTGGGAGAAACAACGAGAAGTTCACGTAAACCTCCATAACTCAGAATCTAATCGGAGTTGGGGTCCTACCCTTGGTGTATGAGTTTATGCAATAGAAAAGAATTTAAACCCCTAAGTTGAGACATCTGACACAAGTATTTAAAAAAATGTGAAATAGCCTTTTTTTCACTTTATAGTAACTTTCAGCACTAGAATTGAATGAAAACTCAATTAGGAGACAAGTCAAGTTCCCCTCTTCCGCTTCCTAAATCGACTAACACTGCAAAAAAAAATGCAACTTAGTCAATGGTGTTTGAAAGAGTTGAAAAACATCATTTGAATAAAATAAAAAAATCAAAATGTACGAGTTGGACCTTGATGAAAACGAGACATCAAACTGCGATTCATGATCATCTTTTCATACATCCCACACTGCAAGAAAAGTGTGAAAAGTACAACAAAAACTGTACAATAAAAGTACAACAGGGATTGTACAAAGCACAACGAGGCCTGGACTGCCCAGCACTCCTCATGCCGGTTCCATTGTACTTCGTGCAACAATTGTATTTTGAAAGTACAAAAAATATCTGATAAAAAATTTGTCAGAAATTTGTGTACTTTTGTTGTGGTTTTTTCTTGCAGTGCATAGTAAGAAATGGCCACAACTGGTCATCCAATAATCGGTAGTTTTCTGAGTATCACGCCAACTTTTTCATCTAAAATGTAAGGCCATATCAGTAAAAACAAAGCTTGAAACCAATTAGAAAATAAACCGAATTGACGTTCGGATTCCGAGCGGGCCTTGTGGAACGATCGCATGACCCGAAGTCCAACTCAACTCGCAATGCACCAACAAACTGGTGCACATCACTGCACCGCTCGGCATCGCTGCGCTCCCGTATCAGTCCATTAGCCTTCGGTGCCCAACAGACAGGGCATCGGCTGATGTCGCTCAGTTCTTATCGGAACTGTGGACATTATCCGAGCGGTCGTCCCGTCATCAGGTAGTTTGTCCGAGGATACACGGGGTGGCGGGACTGCACTCAGCCGTACAAGGCACGAGACATATAGTGTGTACAGGTGTTCGACGTATCTCCAAATTGCGTTTTTAGTCTATTATTGTGCCTCAAAATGGTTTGCATCATTCCACCAAGTGGAGATGACTGTTTTCCATTTTAACGGAAAGTGATAAATCACAGAAATCCTATATGCAGTGACCTGGCTCTCCCAATGTTCATCTCACAATTTAACTTAGGCTCTTTGAACTTGTAATCATGTATAACATTCCTTTGTTTTGTGTTAGTTTTCCTGCAAACAGTTTTTTGTTTCTCCTGAAAAATGGTGAAAATGGAGTTATCCCCTTCTTCCGCTTCCTGAATCCAGGGGGCGGCAACGGCCTAGGAAGCGCGTGAAGCCATGCGCGAGGGAGGTGCAGGGGTTACTTATTTTGCTTCGATTGGAAGATCTAGCCCGTTGATTGCAAAACGCTTTGCGCAGATCAAAAGAGTACAAAATTTAAGGTGCATTAGGCCTAGTAGACTGCCCGAAACTTCCAATTCAACCGAACACATGGGCGGAATCATTTACATTAACATGGCGCATTCGAGTTTTTGCTGAATTTTGTGATTTCTCGTGTTTTTCGGTGTTTTCACTGCACCTTAACATAAAGTCAGGGGGAGTTTCGAGAAGAGCAATTAGCCTATTGCAACCTAAATTTCAAGCCCTTTCCATTGGTGCAAAGCGTTTTGAAAAACACTGTCTAGTTTTCATGATCTCGAAGAAGTGCGCAACCTCTGCTCTGACGGCGCGAGCATCGCTTCACGCTCTCCCTAGGCCGTTGCCACCCCCTGCTGAATCCAATATGATGCGCCATGACATTTAGTGTGTAGATCTGAAGTCCTACACACTAAGTGTCTTGGGACTTTTTTGCCCCACAATTTATACAATTTTAATCACATCCGACGCCGATACAATGTTGTTCCCGTCTGGCGACACATTTTGTCAGACGGCTGCTGCAAATTGTACTTTCACTAGACGATTTGTCGCGCCTGGCGGACACAAAATTGCATCGCCACCGGATGTGCTTAAAATTGCATCATTCACGGGACAAAAAAAAGTCCCATGACATTTAGTGTGTAAGGTGCCCCAAAGTCCTACAGTGGCACTGCAGGACTCTACACAGACCTAATCTCCAACGCAATGCCTTCGAACCCAGCGCATTCGGCTGGACACCGTAAAAACGTCCTTCCTGGAACGGGATTTGGGGCCCGACGCTCGCCGAATTCTGGGAAACGATCGTGCAAGTACGATTCCTTCTGCGGGCCGATACGCAGTGGCCACTTCCTGGAAAGGCCATCCTCCGGGCTGGGCTCGACCTGGCCCGTGGTGGGGAGGAGCGGGCAGAGCCGGCGGAGTTAGGCGGAGTGGCTAGTCCCCGGCCTGCCACCATGTGGAGTCCTACACTGTGAAAATTTGAGTCGTCACTTGATGGCAATTTCAAGGCAAATTTTCCTTACAACAATGTCATCAAAGCAATTGATGACATTGTTGTCACGCCCTTGCAACAAGTATAGGAGTTTTGATGAAAATGTCATCAGTTTCTGATGAGATTGTAATCATTTGAAAGTGATGAACAAATCATCCACGATTTTGTCAAAAAGTGACAACAAATTTTCACAGTGTATCTGGCTGGTCTCCATGCTGCCAAGCTGTCGAGGATCCGTGTTGCTACAATTTGTCAGCCAAAAGACCCTGGCTGTCTTTGCCGGGTGAAGAACACTCTATACTATGAACTCAAGTGTGTAGATAGCATGCTTCAGGTCTTGGAGGAACAGGGGAGGAGAAGTAGGTCGAAAATGCAGTCCTAATGGGTTCAAGTTCGCTACACTGTGGGAAAAAATCACAGTAAATCCTGTAGTGATTAGTACAGCTGTCACTGTAGTTCAGAGTACAGTATTTACTGTACTTTTTTAACAGGATCTACTGTACTTTGTACGGGATTTACTGTACCACAGGAGTGGAGTACGGAATACCCTGTACCAGGTACAAAAGATACTGTAGCCAGGCACGGTAAATCCTGTGTTCTGAACTACAATAAATCCCGGCAAAAAAATTAACGG